ATATAAAGACTGTTAGAAAGTGTCAGCTAAGTAACAAAATACTGAAGTTAAGAAAGACCACAATTAAACATGTTTATTAACTGTGTTCAGCCTCATTTTCCACCTTGCACATGTGTTACAGTGTAACTTACTTCAGAGATGAGTAAGCATTTTGTTATGAAGTTCAGAAAGAAACACCACCACCAGAATGACTAATTCTCTTTCAGTGATGTTTTAGAACTTCATAACCAGTACCAGAACACTTTTAGAACTGGAATAAAAACGTTTTACTCCACATAAGTTGCAAAGACACAGTAGTAGTTTGTGCTCTGTGCACTGACATAAAGCTTTGTTGCTGATGGATTTCGTGGGTATTTGCTTAGGAGAGTGAAATCTTTAATCTGAATTAACTGCTAGAAACAGCCTTATAACTGGTTCTCTCAAGCAGTCTTAATAATAGATGCTGCTAACATTCCCAAATTTAGTTAAATTACTCATTTTATTGGAAGTCCACTAGATTTTGCAAGTGAAGTTGTTAATTATTCTGTGCACTAACAGGTTGTCATGCCTAGCCCTGTGTTTTGACCTTATTAAAAAATGCGCAGCTCTGTACGAGTCTTTACCATCATTCCGTGAAATAATGTATCCTGTGAGAATTCTCCTTACACAGCATGTGCCAGTAAATGAATATCCTGACAAAATGCAGGTATGTGTTCCTCAAGAATTAAATAATTGATATGTTTGTTTGTTTGATTAATAAATTCAGTGATCTTCATCTGTGCTTAAAGAAACAAAAAACAAGTGTAAGCATCCATGAGATTTTTCTCAAGAGTCAGGCATCTGCCTTTTGTGCTTTTCTGTGGAGAAAAAACAGAAGAGCAGAGAATCACAGAATGGTTTGGGTTGGAAAGGACCTTAAGACCATCCAGTCCCAACCCATGGTCACACTAGACCGTGTCACCCAAGACTCTGTCCAGCCTGGCCTTGAACACTGCCATGGATGGAGCATTTACCAGTTCTCTGGGCAAACTATTCCAGTGCCTCAGCACCCTCACAGTGAAGAACTTCTTCCTTATATCTAACCTAAACTTCCCCTGTTTAAGTTTAAACCCATTACCCCTTGTCCTATCAACTACAGTCCGGGTATTTTTTCATTGTGTATCTTGTCTCACCCCTCTAATTGAAGAGAACAGCACTTAGCTTGTAATAAAGTAACATTCTGTGAGTGACTTAAGTTATAAAAATAGTAGTCTGGTCATCCAGTTGCTCTTGTACTTTTGTAATGAATCTGTAAGATCTTGGCACAGCCAAAGAGGTGTATTAAATTGATGAGGTAATCAGAAAACCTAACATAAAGATGCCCTGTCAGCTACCTTGAAACATGACAGTTGTGTATCTTCTAGCAATGAGGTTTCAATTTTTAATCTGTCTCTTCTGAATGTATCAGAAGTGTCCTCCTCAGAGAGGCATCATGGATTATCCTTAAGGAACCTGTAATGTAAATGATGAAAAATAGCCAATATTTTTTGCTATCAAAATAAATAAAATGAACAATAACTCTTAAAATAACCCTGAAAAGCAGTTGGAGTTAGACTGGCTTTAGTCTTGCTTCCTTCTCTGCTAGGTAAAACTTCCTGCAAATCTTTCTTACTGTCCATGATGTCATCTTAATAGACTTCCAAAACGTTTAACAATTATCCAGCCCGGGAAGCTTACAACATTTTAGTGTTAGCAATGTCCTAATGAATAGCAGTGGTTTTGCCCTAAAAAACAGCATATGGGGAGAACATTGCTGTTGATCCAATTTACAATAGTTTGTGTCTTTGATATGCTTTTAAAATTGGAATTTGATTTGCATTTTCAGGAATGGTACCACAGTGCTCTGAAAGAGCTGGAGAGCAAAGTGAACCGTTATACCCCACTGGTATGTGAGAAAAGGAAGCCAGTGCCGTTGAAACAGTATACACCTAAAATTATGAAAGTGTAAGTAAAGCAACACTTGATGCAAAGGGAAGGTGTATTTAAATGTTAAGACTTTCAGAAATCTCAAAGGATTTGGAAAAGAGGAGATAAAACAGATAACTACTGTTTTTTACACTAGATTTTTGTGCACAGATCTCAAGGGAACAGCTATTTGGGTGGTAGGGAGGGAAAGAAAAGGGAAATACGCATTTATCCCCAAGTAATTAGTCAGACTTTTTCTGTAGAACTCATCTGCAGAGGTCTGAAAAAACTTAAAATATATTGGGAGATTCCATTTTTCTCCAGTCTTCCGTTTTTCTACTCTGGCTTTTTTAGTCTGTTCAAAACACAAGCTCTGTATGGGGGATTGAAGTGTACATGTCTGCTTGTCCTTTGCATGATGGTGACATGCAGTTAGAAGATGTGGTGAGTGTTTTCTGATAAGTTTATTGGGCAGCTCCTCATTTTTGCAAGTTGATAATATACAGGAATTAAAATACTGAGCTAATATTCATAGTGAAACTCACTCCTTTAAAACATGAGAAAGTTGGGTTTGTTAAGGTGTTTTGTGCTCACACATACATCTCTTTCCAGTTTAGAGTTTGGAAGAAAGCAGGGAGGCAGCAAACAGGAGCAAGAAAGAAAGCAGTTGATTCACAGGCATAAACGTGAACTGAAAGGAGCCATTCGTGAGATTCGGAAAGATAACCAGTTTCTGGCTAGAATGCAGCTCTCAGAAATCATGGAGAGGTAATGTAGCCTTTGTTTCAGCACCAGTTTGGGGGTTCTTCTGCTCTGTGTTCATTTCTTCGCTGCTTGCCAAGAAAATAATGATCAATGTAATATAAAATATAAATAATA